CAGTACCGTGTTTTTCAGCATCGTGTGGCACAGAAAACATCCTAAAATGCTCTTGATTAGAGCTCATCCAGGCTACACACTTTACCTTCTTCCAAAGAGTCTCTCTAATTATTATGCTTTTAAAAACTCGGTTTTGGTGATAAATAGGATATTTTGCCTCTTCAAACTAGCCCCCTTTTTATTACTGATATACAAACTATTTTTAAATGACCCCACTTATTCATTCCATTAATATGGTGGGTGCTTTAGTCCTCTGAACAACCTTATGATGTGGTCATTGTTATTATTCATATCTATGACACCGATGAGAAAATTTAGACTCCTGGAAGATAAGTAATTTTCCCAAGGTCAGTCAACAAAACATGGTAAAAGGAGATCTGAGCACATGGCCACTGAGCACATGCATGTGTAGAGACACCGTGTCCCTGTAGAATCTTTAATTACATGCAGTGATCTCCTATAACCTACCCACATAATCACATTGTGGTACTCAAAGGAATGGACTGAATGTTAAGTAGGGCACTCTGGTACTTCTGGCTTCCTCCCAGGGTCATTGACTCCCACACACTTGAAAAAGCAGGGCTATCTATCCCTATTCCCATTGCATAGCAGGAGTACAGCTGAAAACCAGAACAATGGACAACTTGTGACCTCCCTGTAGATAAATCACCTCTGTCCCAAGTCTCCTTGTCCCAGTAAACTCCCCAGGAATAAGCAGTCCCCTTTGCTTTGGCTCTGTGCGATTTTGGAGTCAGCAACTATCTCTTCTCTCATTACCACATATGGGGACAAAGATCTGACCAGATAACTTACCTTTTCATCCATTAATCCTGGGTGACCCCACCCCTCCCCATGTCTCTACTTCCAGTTGCAATACTTCCTGCTGCCTTATTCTAACCTTAGTGCCTTTTAGCAGGTGTGCAGTGAACAGTGGAATTCCCCATGGCCCTCCTTCAGGAAGTAGTTTTAGAGAAGGTGCCTGATATTATCAGCATTATTTTCCTTCTTGGCCTTATTCCTAAAGCTTCACAGTTTCAGTGTTTTTCCCATCTATCCCAGAGAAGAGAACATAGCAATAGCCATCTCTTATGTCCTATCTATTCTCAGTCACACCGACGCCTCGTGTTTTCCTCTCTTCATCAAGTCAGATTTTAAGTACAAAATCATTCAGCACAGGCTCTCATAGCCCAGGAGTTTAAAACAAGAGCTTCTAGAGTTCAAGTCTGTCTTCCAATCTCATCTTGACCACTTGTCCGGGTGTGGGACTTTGAACAGAGTTAATCATTCCTTAATGAGGTTCAGTTTTCTCACCTGCAGTTTGGGGTGTTGAGTGGTTAAGGGTTATCGGGGATGAAATGAGAGAATGCATGTAAAAACTCTGTGCCTTGAATGGCACCCAAATTCTCAATAAATTAATTGTGAATACAACTAGATTCCTCTAAACATGGCCATTCTTCATTATCATAATAAAAGTAGTGATTTTTAATTCACCACATTGCAAGGTTATACTCCAGAAGCATTCTTTGGTTTTGGAGGCTTTAAATCTTGTCTTTGAGGTGCCAGGTCTACAGCTTCAGGCCCAAGTTTAATTTCTGTCACTAGCCAGAGCCAGTCCTTCAACCTAGAATTAGATCACATCCCCCGGGTGGCACAATGAAGAAAATTGGCTCATGTATCATTATGCTCCCCTCTGCTAGATTAGCTTTAACAACATGCAAACATAATATTATTTCTCACCTCTTTAAAAACTAGGCAACTTTTTGATACCCGTTCAACCCTTCAACTGTTGTCCTGGTCCTCTTTTTTTTTCTTTAAACCAAAATTCCTTGCTTGCCTATACTCATGATCTCCACATCTCCTCCTCCCAGTCCCTCCTCAATCCTCCCCAGTCAACCCTCAAGCCAGTGGATCACATGACAATCACAGCATCATTTTTCCCTCCTTCCAGAACTTGTTTTCACTTAGATATCAGGCTATTATACTGGTCTTCTTTCTGTTTTGCGTTTTGTCTTAGTCTCTTTTGCTGTCTTCTTCTCATGTCCTTAAAGTCTACATGGTAAAGATCCCCAGAGCTCAATCTGTGGACTTCATACCTTTGCTTTCAACTTTTTCATTCTGGCTGATCTTATTGAGTTTCTCTTCTTTTCTATCTACCATCAAATCTCAACCTCACCTAGTATATGGTTTTTGGATTCTATCCACATGGTGATTCTCCAAAGTTCAATCTGTATTTAGAGCTCTCCTGTGAACTGCAATATATTTAATAGCCCATTTATATGTCCCTTTCTATGTCTAGTATGGATCTCAGACTTGATGTTATAAAGCAGAATCCCCAATTGTGCTCCCCAGTATGGTCCTCTTACTGTCTTTTCCATCTCAGTTAAGAGCAATTCCCTCCCATTGATGATCCAGCCACAGATTCTAGTGCCACCGTCTCCCTCATTTTCTTATACCCCTGGTCAGTCAGAAAAATTCTGTGAGCCACACATTTAAGATGCACTTTTCATTGTCTTCATTTCCACTACCCATAAAAGTGCCTGACACACAGCAGACATGTAATACTGACACACTGAAAAAAATAGGTGAAGTGCATATTGTCACCACCCTGCTTCCTGTAATTTCTTTGACAAAACTGAGTCCTCAAGGCCTTTATGGACAATCTGGCTCACATGTTCCTCTCTGTTCTCATCTTTTTCCACTAACCAACCCATATCTTATGCTCTAATTATAGTTGCCTACTTTGAGTTTCCAATTTATCATGCTGTTTCATTCTTTCATGACTTCACAGTGCTATTACCTCAGCCTATAACAGGCTATGTCAACAGACTTTTAAGAGTCATCTTCTTTAACAAAAAACCTCACTCTAGTGTCCACTGCTTCTCCTCTGTGCTTGTCCACCTCTATCATAGAATAAACCACACCCTACAGTGGTTCATCTCTTCGGTATCATATGCCAATTTCCCTGTCTTGTCTTCTTGGTTTGCTATTTCTAATGTACAGAACAGAGCATGGCTCATGGCATTACAATAAATGTGAATGGATGAATGGACTCCTGTGTGTACAGAAATTGTTCATAGATGGATTCATAAAACAAGGGGTATTAGGAAGATTTATCCTTTCACTCTAAATGTCAATGAATTCTTTTCTGGCAGCAACACTTCATCTTTAAAGATAGGATGACTCTGAATATTTTCTTTGAGAGAAGTTTTATTTCTCCAAAGACAACACTTCCTCTTTCCGGCACAATTACTTTCTCTTTAAACTAATATATCTATATCTATATCTATCTATCTATCTATCTATCTATCTATATATATATACACACATATATACACACATATATAATACGTATATATATAAATCTTAAATGAATATACTTCAACTTAACTTAAAATTTATCCAATTTCTATTAGATTCACTGCCTTCCACTTTGACTACTCACCTGTCTCTCCCTTTCAGTACCCTTTCAAGGTTGAGATCAGTCAGTTGTGAGTTCCAGTAAAAATTGTGTTTTAACAATACAAAGAATATAAAATGCTTTCTTATCACAATATTATAAGTGCATAAAAAAGTATGTGTGAGCAGAGACTGGAGAAGTAAATAAGACATGGTTCACCATCGTTTATTGAGCACTTACTATGACCCATATGTTTCATAGATGCGTTTTATAGATGGAGACAGAACAGCCAAACACTTATGCAAACTGCTGTAATCTCATTTGGCAAGCAACAGTGGTGCCACTTGCTCTGTCCCCAGCTTGGAGCACCAAGAAGACAAACTATTCAGCTGTTGGTGGTCCACTAGGGTTTATGGGCCTCTAGGAAATGTAGAGAATGGAAACTAAATTATTAGGGAAACGATGTTTGTTATTGGGGTGGAGAGAAGCAAGGGGTTTTGGCGGTAAGAGCAGTAGGTATCCTTCTCATATGGTTACCAAGACAGCCTGTGCCTCTGAACCCCAACTGCACAGGTTCTCTTGAAAGAGCCAGCGTTGGGGCAGGGGAGTAAGTTGGCCATTTGGCTTGCAGGGCTGTGGGGGGGGGGTCCACAGAACCAGCCCCTTTCTCCAGCACTGCACCTACATCTGTTCACAGCTCTCTTCCCCCTCCCAGAACCAGTCCCAGCAAGGGCTGGACCAACAACTGATTTGCACAGGCAAAGAGCTGTGCAGTGTCCAGTGCTTCTCCTAGGACCAAACACCAAACCTGTTCTATCCTTTCTGAAGTGGCCAAGTCCTGAGAAACAGGTCTTTTATCCATGCTGAAGAAGAGATGGCAACACAACCCCTTCCTTTCCTTCTGGAAATTCTACCTACTACAAAATGTGTTGGGTTAACCCGCTTAAAAATGTGTAAAACACACATGCATGGGGTGAGTGTGTGTTTAAACCTTCTGGCTGGATTTCCTCTCTTCTCCTTGTATGTCCTGGTCCTGCTTTCTTCAGGGTGAACATCAGCCTCCCAGCCCTTCCAGAACAGCACAGCCTCCTGCCTCCTGACCCCAAAGCTTCAGGTCAAAACAGTCAGCAGGAAAAAGATCCTTCCCACGAGTTTCTGGAAAGAACGCCATGGGTTTTCCTTGGTCCTATGCCTGTCCTTAGCCCACAGGTGTGTTCAGAAGATGATGCACACCCCTGCTGCACACAAAGAATGTGAGTTTAAGCCCGGCGCAGACGCAGGTGGCTCACACCTGTAATCCTAGTAACTTGGGAGGCAGAAATCCGGAGGATCGCGGTTGGAAGCCAACCCGGGCAAATAGCTGGAGAGACCGTACCTCCAAAAAAATCGATACAAAACAGAGCTGGTGGACTGGTTAAGTGGTAGAGCACCTACCTACCAGTGTGAGGCTCGGGTCCTCTCGGAGCTCCTCAGCGCCTGCCGAACAGACTCGGCCCGTCGGAACTGCAGTTCCCGGCGTGCCCCGCGAGGGGGCGTGGCAAGGGGCGTGGCGGCGAGCCGCGACCGCTCCAGCTAGCGGGCGGGAGGCCGGGCGGAAAGCGGGCGGCGCCGAGCTGAGCTGGCGGGGGACGAGCTCCCGGATGTGGAGAAGCTGGGGAGAAGGCGTGGGAGGAAGATGGACTCGGTGGAGAAGGGGTCCGCCACTTCCGTCCCCAACCCGCGGGGGCGGCCGTCTCGGGGCCGGCCTCCGAAGCTGCAGCGCAACTCCCGCGGCGGCCAGGGTCGCGGCGTGGAGAAGCCTCCGCACCTGGCGGCGCTCGTGCTGGCCCGCGGCGGCAGCAAAGGCATCCCCCTGAAGAACATTAAGCACCTGGCGGGGGTCCCGCTCATTGGCTGGGTCCTGCGTGCGGCCCTGGACTCGGGGGTCTTCCAGAGGTGCGCATGTGCGAGAGTGGGCGGTGCGGCCGGGCCAGGCGGGGCGGGAGCGCGGCCGGGCGGGGCGGCGCCCCCCGGGAAGTGCGGGTCCGGGACTCCCCGGCCGCAGCGCCTTCCGGTTCCTTAGCGGTGACCTGGAGCAGCCTCTGTCATGCCCTTGAGCATGCCCCCCAAAACTGGGCATTGCTCTACATGTCACCCCGCCCCGTGGACCCCAGGTGGAAGCAAGCGAAGGAACCCCTTCTCTCCCCCGTCACTCCTGTGACCTGGGAGGTCCGGGACACACTGGCCTCGGTGCCCCTGTTGCTCAGCTTCGCTATATGCGCTGGCTGAACGATCAGGGAGGCATCAGGTTCATGAGTGGAGTCCAGTGTCAGGGCTTTGTAGTTTTTAGCTCGACTTGGAGATCCTATACAACCTTCGGAAACTACTTCTCTGTCGGTGAGTCAGCACAATCCTGAAATCTCCCTGCTTTTGCACGGATGTGAGAGACCTGTGTGTGGCAGTGTACACAGTCTACCGTTTTATGGGAGGATGTAAATGGTTTTACATAACACTTGAACTTTGCCCTAAGGGCGGTTTCATTTGTGCATCATTTACGGACACTGCCATATGCCACCTTAGGCAGGTGTTACACGTCGATGTCATTCGTCAAAGATGAGAGAGAGACTTCTTTGCTGAGAATTGTTTTTCCCCTATTAGCTCCAACCTAATTACACTTGAATTGGTTGTTAAATTATCTTAATCTTGATGTTTAGGGTTTTAAGAAGATGATTGTTTTTGAAGTATATTAATTTTTCCATAATTACCCATATTATGTTATGGGTAACTTATTTGTCTAACTTTATTAAAAATGAGATACCAAAAAAGGGTAAATTTACTAGTTTTCTTAATGTTTTAACCCAGAGGGAGCCCTGGGTGGAGCAGGCAAGCAGGAGCTAGTGCTTAGAAGATAACACTACTGCAACAGGAAGTGTGCTAAGGAGTGATTGGGAAGGACTTGGGGACTTGGTTCAACTCAGCAAACATTTCCTGTGCCTTAATTTCTGTCATACCCATGCAAGGGAACGCCATAATCCATACATGGTTCTTGTCCCTGTGAAGCTCACAGTAACTTCCTAACACATAGCACAAACTGCAAAAGACTTGAGAGGAGTGGATATACCCAGCACTGCAAGAGGCAGATGACAGAAGATGGTGGTTCCAGACCAGCCCTGGCAAAAAGTTAGCAAGACCTTGTTGTAAGCTGGACACAGTGGTTCATGCCTGTAGTCCCAGCTACTCACATAGGTAGGAGGATCACAGTCAAAGGCCAGCCCCCAGGCAAAAATGTGGGAACCTACTTGAAAAATAACGAAAGCAAAAAAGGGGTGGGGAATTGGCTTAAGTGGTAGAGCACCTTCCTAGCAAGAATAAGGCCTTGAGTTCAAACTCTTTAAAAATAATAATAATAATGCAGGTCACAGTGTTATACTCAAATCTCATTTTTGTGAAACAAATGGGATCAAAATCACATTCACAGTAGATGGAGAGCAAAACTCATTTACAACAACTTTTGGATTACATGTCAGGAAATCACTTTCAAACTGGCTTAACAAAAAGGTTAGGTCTTGTTTCAGGTAATTAGATTCAAGGACAAAAAAAAAACCCACCATTCTTTGATTCAGAAATACCTACTGACTACCTACTTTGTTACAGGCACTGTGTCCTGAAAAAGGAAGCGGGAGGTTATAGAGGTGGGAAAAGTGGGTTCTGCTCCCACTCGAAGAAGCCACTTTCTGAAGAGACAGTGATAGCCCAAGAAAGAACTTTATTGTCAACAAGCAGGCAGGTGGGGGATGGAGGACATTCACCCAAATTCTATCTTGCAGGGAGATCACATGTACAAAAGCTTATATGGGATTTCTAGGGAGTCTGATTTACCCACAGCCAGGTGGGGACTGGATGGTCACTAATGCTTGCATTAGTCAGTTCTCTTGATGTGGCTTTCATGTCCACAAATCACCAGGCATTCTGGACATTCCTAGTCTCTACAACCCTAAAGAAAGATTACTCATTAGGAGGTTGTATGGCTCATATTGTTCTTTGATGTTTTCCCTTATTCTTCTTTTCAGACAGGGCTGACTTTTGCTAAAATATTTGGGGAGTGAAGCAAAACAGAAACAGTGAAAAACAGACTTGCCAGTGCAAGGATAGAGTTAACCCACTCGTTGATACACCTTACCTCATGAAGCTTACATTGAAACAGAGAGATGGTGTTAAGGCTTGGATATGTAGTGTCTCCCAAAAGGCACACATATTGATGGATTGCTTCCCAGCTGGTGGACTCAGTCATTTAGAGGTGATTGGATCGTGTGGGGTCTACCTAACAAGTGGACAAACCTCTTAATGGCATTACTAGGTGGTGGAGGAAGCTTGGAAGAAATAGGTTACTGGGGGTTGTATCTTGTCCTGGGCCCTCTCTGCTTCTCTCTGCTTCCCAGCCATGGTGAAGTGAGCAGCTCTGCTCCTCCACGCCCTCTCCACCATGATGCTGTGCCTCACCACAAGCCCACAGTGATAGGGCCAAATGATCATGGGCTGAACTCTCTGAAATCATGAGCCAGAATAAGCCTTTCCTCCTTGTTTCTCTCAGGTGTTTGTCACAATAGCAGGGAAGCTGACTAACCCAGGCAGGCAGCATGCAAACACATTAAGATATATTAGGTGGCGATAACTGGTTGAAGGGAAGAAAGCAGGCTAAGGGTCCCCTCTGCTACCAAAATTCTAGTTCTTGGTTCTGTCCCTTTAGGATAACTGAACAAAGAACAGAAAGATTCACTGCACATATGGACTGTGTCCAAATCTTTGCACTAAGTGATGACCAAGTTCTTATGGCCACTATAGTTTAAGGCCAGGTAACTAGGGTGATCCTAGTCCCCTTTAAAATACCTACTTAAAAAGACTCTGCTACCAGGAGAATGATGATAGGCTGAAACCTCTCGTACAGAAGTTACTTTAGAAAGCTTTCAATTGTACAGACCTTCTCTGCCCTTGGAGATGTAAATCTACCATCCAAAACTGTGTCCCTCCCCTTCAGGTGAAATGCAAACATGCTGGAGGATTATTGCTGTCCTTTCTAGTCCCTGTGGGAGAATAGGGGCCTAACTTTGGTTGATGCCTTGCTTCAACTTGTACTGTTGTCCCTTCTCATAAAGATATTTTTTTTTCTCCTGGTAAGCCCCAATTAATAAATCCAAATAGACCAGCCCCCTTGATCACCTCTTGGTGTGTCTCCCTTAACACCACAGCCTTCAAGAAAGTCTTCAGACTTTTGTTCTCAGGACATTTGGGTTCAGTTCATACCAGCCTGTTCCCTGTTGGAGTAGTTAAAGCAACACCTGCTTGTTTATCCTTTACAACACTTCTTCACATGTTTCCAGATGTAAATGTAGTCACAAGGATCAGCTCTCCGCCAAGCTTCAACAAACTTCTCGTTGGGTTCCCTGCCCATCCTCTAACCAGTCACTAGTATTGGTGCAGTTTAGTCACTCTGCTACTGGGAGCCAGTGATAGAACCCCCGCTGAGGCACATGCAGGTTTATCAAGAGGAAATGAGTAGTATCACCAAAAGGGGGAGAGTAGATTCCAGGAGTCAAAACCCAACCAACAGCATTATAGCAGACATTGGAGATTCTGCGAGGAAATGATTGGAAAATTCGTGTATGTTAAACAATGATTTTTCATGTTTCTACTTAGTAAAATGCATTTGTACAAAATGCCATTAAAGATAACTTAAGTGTCACCTTTTTCTGTACCAGTTTTACTTCATATATCTAGACTAGAGTATAAGCCCCTTTACCACAGGATTAGTATATTTCTTAGAGCTACCTGTGGTATCTCACCATACCAATAACGGCGATTATAGAAAGTAAAACAGGAGTTCCCCTTGACTAGCAAACGAGCGTGTACCTAAGTCTGCCCTCTGAAATTTGCAATAGGATGTAACAGTGCTTTACTCTGTTCACAGCTGCTTGCTATGTGGCATCCTTTCTGGAGATCTGGAAAGTGAACTCAAGAGGTAATAGCAGGGGCCAGCACTACTTTGTCTTTGCAGACCCTGTCAATGAAAAGCAACTGCTTTGTTTTCCATTTGGAGCAACATTATCCATAGCTTCCCTTAGTACCAGCACTGTGCAGGTAGTAAGGCCCAGTCACACTGTGGCTTTAAATTCCAGCTTCTCATCAGGCACTGGTGCCTCACACCTGTAATCCTAGCTACTCAGGAGGCAGAGATCAGGAGGATTGCAGTTCAAAGCCAGCCTAGGCAAATAGTTCGCAAGACCCTGTTGTGAAAAAACCCATCACAAGAAAAGGGCTGGTGGAGTGACCCAAGTGGTAAGAGTGCCTGCCTAGCAAGTGCAAGACCCTGAACCTGAGTTCAGATCACAGTGCCACAATAAATAAATAAATTCCAGCTTGTCCATGTGTTAACTGTGTAACCTTCACCTCTCCATACTTGAGTCTCCTCATCTTGAATCCACCAAATGGACTTAGGGAATTAAGAGAGATAATGTGTGCATAGCCCTACAACAGTGCCTGGCCCAAAGGATGTGCTCTAACATTGACATTTTCTCTTGTATTGAAGGTCTTTACAATCACTGTCTCTTCCCTGAGCCTTGGCTTGGTTTCCTTGCTTGTAAATGGAAAATTAGTAATGACCTCCAACATTCTTTCTAGTGCTAACATTCCTTGACTTTGAAGTTATTGGAAACATCTTTATTCTGATTTTCAGCTTTTTGGCAGCCTTTTTCTATAAAAGGCCAGATAGTAAACACATTAGGCTTTGCAGTGCAGATGGTCTCTTGCAGCTACTCAGCTCTGCGGTTCTATGTTGTGAAAGTGGCCATAAGGATACATAAATGAATGGATGTGGCTGTATTCCAATAAAATGAGAAACAAACAGACTGAGGGGTGGACTCAATTTGAATTGGGGAGAACCCTCCACTTTACCCCCCAGATTAGGTAAAAAGCTATTTTACTCATCCCGCTATGCCTTATACTTTACTCAATTAAGATGTGCTGATTTGGGTTTAATTGATTTACTGTGACTATAGGAGAATTTTGGTTTAAGCTTCCTGCCTCCAATCCTCTCCTTTCTTCTTTCACCATAAGTTTATCTTAGTAGGAAATGGAAGGAAATCACAACTACCTTTTTTGAGTTTTTCAAGGCCAGAAGATACTTTGGAAATGATTTTGTACAAAAACCATGGTTTGATTTAAGGCATAGTTCCCTGCCTGCTCAGAATCAAAGTTAACAATACTTTTCAGAGTTGCTAAACTTTACCTACTAACTAGGATAATTAGCAGTTAAGAAAAATGCTGAGATAAAAATTTTCTTTTACTAAAGAGTTGTTATTAAAGCTGACTTTGTTAGAGCTTTTCAACAGTAGCCTGGTAAACCTCAGAACAAATTGACCTTTACAATCTTGTGTAACATACTGGTGAAAAATAAATATGGCTTAGTTTCATTGCTAAGGTGTAAACTTAGGATTCATGAAAGGCCTATATAATGTTACCCTAATATATTATACTGTGTGTATACCTAATGTACATTACCACTGTTGACATTCTTGCTCATCTGACTTGGTGTCTTGACTTCATTTGAGGCTAAGCTATAGGCTTTGACAGTACTAACTTGATTTTAAATTTTTTAGGCCTCTCTGTTCACTTGCTCATTCTTTCCCTATAGCTGATCTTTTCTGATGCTCCTAAGCCAAAGAAAAGTGATCAGTTCCCTCAGTCCTTTCAATGAGGGGGATCATTATGTTTTAAGTGTACATGTATGGAATGCTACTTTCAGATCCATGGGGCCATTGTCACATGCATACACATTAGCATGTAGACCTTTAAGGATCAGAAAGTGGATTCAGTTTTTCTTGCAGCAGATCAGTGTGAGGGTTCAATGAGACAGTATGGGTGTGCCTTTACACCATTCCTACTTTAGTATTTAGACTTCATAATGCTTATTAAGTGTTTATTCTTTGGTAAGCTGTTTATATGTAATGCTCACAGCAACCATAGTGGCACCCATCATTAGCACCACCTCCACTTAATGCTCTTAGCCACTTGCTGTTCCATTTACTCAACAAATACATGTTGAGCACAGTTATATAGCAAGAACTATGAAAGTACTGTGTGAAGAATAAGGCACTATAAAAAGCATATTTAACTGACTCCTCACCTCTCTTCCTGATATTTAAAGGAAGTTGGGTACCATCTGGGGCTGTCTCTCCTGATAGGACAGGAGTTACTCAAGAAAGTGTACTATACTGTATCAATTGTTATACCCTCCTGTCCAGAATAGTGCCCAGGACAGAATAGGCACTCCACAAACATTTTAGGAAGGAAGGAAGGAAGAAAAACCAGCCAACAGACCTCTCTAAAACCTCATATTTAGAAATCTGTCATACGTTTCAAAAAGATCACTGAACCTTCTGCTTTTGAATTTTTACCACAGTGAAGACTAGGACAATAAAGTAAATGACTTAAGTATTTACTTCAGTTCATGTGAATTAGATGCAAAAAGACCTGTGTCTTGCTTTTAGTCATTTTTTACTATGTTCTAATTACCTTGTTATCCTCCCTTCTCTATTTTAAATGCACTGGATTTTCATTAGTACTTATTCACTTTGTTATATATCTTTGACATTTCTTCAGTGAAAAATCTGTCTCCAAACTATTCCAAAGTTCAAGATGAAGGAAAACGGGACTGTTGTGTTTTACCTTGTAACATGTGCAGGTGTGGGAGACTTCTGACCTCTGGCCAGTAGCTCATCTTGTTCACAAGGCCTCCTTTGGAAAAATTTTTTTGGGTATCGACTTTATCCTTTGATTTATATTGTCTTTCTACATGTGTTAACCAGAAGAAATGAAATTAATAAAGACATCCAGAGTTGTTAGAAATTGTTCCTCACTTCTCTTCACCTTTAATGGTCATGGACATATAAAACGTGCAGATCTCACCCTCAGTGGATGCTGAATGAATGGGATAAAAGAATGTTTATGGCAAAGGCTGTACGTCATTAAAACATCTGTACATGAGATCAGTATTAAGACGTTCACATCTTCTGTTTCTAGCAATGGGAATTTGTAAAGGTCCAGGAAACAAAACTTCAATAGAGACTAGTGCATCTCCCCAAAGTAGCAGTTTGCTCTCAGTCTTCATCTTACAGAATCTAAATCAGCAACTGTTGCCACTGTGGTTAACAGAGTGTTCAGTTAAATTCTCCTGAGCTTGAAAGTGTTTTAGCTATGGTTTGGCTAAGCCACATCCATTTTTTTAAGCATATTAAAATACTTTATACAGTGTGGATTTGGATGAGCTTTTTAAATTTCCTTTATATTTGACTTCTAGTGCTGTTTGCTTAATCTGTCAGCAGTTTAAAAAATACCAAGTATCAGTTGGGTATGGTAGGACACACCTGTAATCTCTGCACTTGGGAAGCAGAAGCAGAAGGATTGTGAGTTCAAGACCAACCTGAGCTACATTGCAAGACCCCTGTCTCAAAAAAACAAATAGAATTTTTTTTCCTTCCTTTTGTAAAACTCTACCTTGGACTACCTAAGTAACAGTTACATAAATAATACATAAAATAGATACTTATTTTATAAAAATATCCACATCTACACTTTTATTTGTACATTAATATAATTTGCATGCAAAGAACTTTATGATTCTTTATATTTTATATTACTTTAGATCTTTAACATTTTGATCATGTGAAAGTTACATTATGTAAGTTGTAATTGGTGTTACAGAATACCTTCTTTATTGCTAAGGATTTCTTTGGATGAGTTGGCTATTTAAATTTTCTTTTTTTAAATATCTGAACAGCGTGTGGGTTTCAACAGACCATGATGAAATTGAGAATGTGGCCAAGCAATTTGGTGCACAAGTTCATCGAAGAAGTTCTGAAACTTCCAAAGACAGCGCTACCTCGCTAGACGCCATTGTAGAATTTCTTAATTATCACAATGGTGAGAATTTTGATTCTTGTTTATCCAAAGTCTCATATAATTTATAACTATCATCTTACCAGGTGGCTTTAACATTCGCGTTCTTAAATGTTGATTCTTAGTATAGCTTGCAGTAACTGTATTTTGGTGTCTGTTTTACTTTTGTTGTCTTAAGAGGTTGACATCGTAGGAAATATTCAAGCTACTTCTCCATGTTTACATCCTACTGATCTTCAGAAAGTCGCAGAAATGATTCGAGAAGAAGGATATGATTCTGTTTTCTCTGTTGTGAGACGCCATCAGTTTCGATGGAGTGAAATTCAGAAAGGAGGTAAATCTGTTTTCATTCTTTATTTTAACTTATTTTTACTGAGAATCAGTGCTTTTATATGTAAATATTCTTTAGGAGAAAGAGAAAAAGGAGCCATAGAGAGTGTTTCATTCATGATTGCAATAGGTAATGACATTGATAGTCAATTCTAGATCTTGTTATTGAGGCAAGACAGTGAAACCCAATTATTTGCTATACTAACCCTCTATTTTTATTTGTGTTTTGAGAAGACATGTCATTTTTCTAGATCAAATATTTCTGCAGTGATTCCACACTTGTTTCATAAGCTTTGTACAACTCCTGGGGATAAAGCGTTTGCCAAGGAGCTCTGAAGAAGAAAATTGTGGCTAGCTTTCCCATGTTTATAACTCATAAATAAGAAGGGCTTCCTAGGGTTTAGTGGGAGCCTGACTAAACTTTCAAACGCTATAGTAAACGCTATAATAAAGAATAGAATTTCTAACAAACAGGTAAATGTAACATTCTTGGGGAAAGGCAGTGTGATTTCTGCTAGATGCACTGATATTTGCTGAGTTTGGGAAAGCTGCCTAGTTGTCCCTACCATGTGTATCTTAAAGAAGTTGGTAAGACGGATGCAGGGAACCTGGAGATGTAGAAAAAGAACCATTAGGACAGCCAAGATCTTATAGGTAGGCTGCAAAGAATGACTTTCAGTCTCAAAATAGGAATGCTATCAGAACCAGAAAATGCAGTGATTAGTAAATGCATTTATTTACTAATTTCATCCAGTAAATATTTATTGTTTTCTCTGTACCAGGTCTGTGCTAAGCTATATGTATAAAATTTTGAACTTATCCACCATATTTCAGAAATAAGATAGAGGAAAGAGCTATTAAGTGTTAAACAGACTTTTTAAAGCAAACCAAAAACACAAAGTTAAACTGAATATTGGTGTTTATTTGCAATGAGTAAAGTTAGATAAGCTCAAGAAATACCTGGATCGAACAGATGACAGATGCATAGGTGGCAGAGCCATGAGTATTTCTTAAGCAAATGAGGGGTGTCTGAAGAAATAGTGACTGTTAGGGTTAGTAGTTCTGTGTTTTCATGTGATGTACTCCCTTGGAACTACTGTGAAACGGTGCTACTTATGGGCAGTGTGATTCTAAACCAGACCACTATTTCTTAAGATTCTGTTACTCTCCTTGTTTATAAAATCTTCACTGCTGAAAGTGCTGATGGTTTAATCAATACTTTAAAAATTGTTCCACTTTATTTTCTATAACTTGTATATTCCTTTTTTTTTTTTTAAAGTTGTCATGCTAGAAGTGCACTCTTAAATATAGTGGCCACCAGCAGCACTAACACTTGGAATGTTAACAGTGCCAAACTGAGGTGTGCCCTTAGTACAAAAATGTATATTGCACTTCTAAGATTTAGTATGTAAGAAATACTGTAGTATCACATTAATAATTTTTTAATTATCACATGTTGAAATAACATTTTGGATCCATTGGTGAAATAAAACGTGTTGGTAAAAATAACATTTCCTTTTACTCCTTCAAAATACACATATTAAAATGTACATTTCAATATACATTAGAAAGTGTAACATTACATGCGTTGCTTGGCTTGCTGCTCTGAAGACTACACTGTACCCTTAGCTTGTATACTCCACGTTTACCTAGCATGCTACAACTTCACAACTAAGAACCTTCACTCCAGTATAGTCTATATATGCTCTCCTTTTGTAAAGCAAGTGATTGCTCCATAATTATGCCACAATGCAGTTATATCTATTTAAAATAACTAATAGTATTTAAAAGTTATTTTAAGTGGTAGAGTGCTTGCCCAGGGTAAAATGTGTAAGACCCTGGGCTCAGTCCCCAGCACCATACACACATACACATAACGATAACAACAAAAATTATTTTAAATAGTCATATATCTTCACCTGCATATTTATACTTTTTGGGCCCTTTTTTATTCCTTATTTATGTTTGTTTTCATCTTACATTATGCAACAGTTGGAAACAAATTCTGTCAGCTTTTGTTTATCCAAAAATGGGTGTGATCAGCCTTTACTTTTTGAAGGCTGATTTCACTGAGTATTAAATTTCAATTGCCCTTTTTTCTTTTAGCATTTCAAGATTGCATTTTTGTGATGGTGTTGTTTTGAAAATGTTTCCTCAAGATATTGTTCCATTATCTTCTGCCTTCCATATTTTCTAAAATAAATCAGCCTTATTCTGACTGTCATTTCTGTGAATATAAACACATCTTTCTTACTGAGGCTCTTCTTGAGATTTTTATCTTTGGTTTTCCACAGTTTGACTCTGATGTGTATGGCCATGGTTTTCTTTTGTGTATATCCTGTTTTGATTTCTCTGAGCTTCTCATATCTGTAGGTTGATATCTGCAAACTGTTCAAAAGTTCTTAGCCCTTACCTCTGGATATTTTTTCTGCCACGTTTTCTTTCTCCACTCTTTCTGGGACTCCAATTTAAGTAAGTATTAGACAGTTTTTTTTGGTGTACGCATGTCTCACGTAGTCAGTTTTATACTATTTGTTATCTGGACTTAATTTTGGACAATTTCTAGAACTCATTTGCATTCCTTGGCCATTTCTTCTGACACGCCTGGTGCACTGTCACTTGTATCCAGTGACTAATCCAGGGTTTTGTATACACTTGATTGCTTAGGGATTCCATTCTCTGTTGAAATTTTCCATGTTTATTCATTTTTAAAATCCTGTTCTCAACTTCTTTAACATATTTATGATAGTTATTTGGAAGTCATCAATTGCAGATTCCAACATCTGAGTCATTTATAGATTCTCTGTTTTTTCTCTTGATTGTGAATCACAGATTTCTGCTTTTTCTGCTTCTTCATTTGTCTCATATTTTAGTATGTACCCGCCATAAGAAGCTGAAGTCCGCATTTTCCTCCAGAGACGACATCCCTTTTCTTCTAACAGGCAGATAGCATGAGGGGCTAATTACTTTAATTAAACTGTAAGTTCAGGTCATGTCTTTGAGCAGGTGCCTTATTAGGAGACATGTCTTGTAGGTATTGTTGACACCTAGCCACCATTGCCTACAGGACTTGTGGATCTAGGCACCACAGAACTGTGAGAACCTCGCCCTGTTTTCCAGCCTCTTCCCAGGTTTCCATGCCATAGCACTCTCAGTAAAACTCATATGGAAGGTGTCAGTGGGTAGAGAGAGCTGGCTCTGTGTTTGTGGTTCCTGCAGACCCACAATCCCACATTGAAAGGCGTGCCCTGTCCTCACCACAGCACAATCCCCATGCTTATGCCAAGCTGGTCTTTCACCTCTTTCCTCCAAACTCAGCAAATATCTGCAGGGAGAAAACAGCCACTGATCTGAGGAAAGACTTGCCGCCCTCTTGCTTTCTTCACACTACTTCCTGAGTTAATTGGATTGTTATTTACTGCTGTCTTCACCACTACACTGCGTGAGAGATGCCCTACAAGACCGCTGCCTAGCTGTTCAGAATGTATTTGCTGAATTTTTTCCTAAACTATATCAATCATGAGTATAATGGACAAAGAATGGTTTAGTTAGGGAAGTAAATAGAATTTAGTTTTAGCTGCCTTTACCCAGAAGTGACAGCCAAAAGAGGAGAATGTTTCTGAAGAAACACAAGTTAAACATGCACACTCATGTGCATATGTGCCCATACCTACCCACACACCCCCATTTGGGAAAACTCAGCAAAAAGACAAAGGAATCTCTGTATACCAAAAGCTTCACTAGTACACTATGCAATAATTTATCACAATGCTGGCATTACTGAGCCTTTGTTTTCACGTATAATAAAGAAAAAGATTTGTTATGGTATTTCATGTATTTTTAGCTGGTATAATATATAAGCATTCCCTTTGATACAAAAGCTTGAGTAACGTAATGAAAAAACCCTCATAATTCTACAAAAGTGATTTCTCAACCACCTTAGATAAATAACATATTGTATTTCCATAGATACAAGTAATGAGAAATAAATTAAAGCAGTTAAATACTGAACATGGGGCTCTTGTGACAAGCTTAATTCCTTTGAAAGTAATTTAAGGTTGCATTGCTCTCCCAAAGCATTATGTTTGTATAAAGTCTTAAATCTTAACTATTTCAAATTCCTTTATAAATTAGTTTTCAGTTAACTACACATTTTGTTCCTTTAAAGAAATCCTTTTGGTTATTTATCTAGGTAAAGAAGTAGTCTACATTCTGGGTTGGTTTTTAAAATTACCAAGTGACTACTTTCTGTATTCGAGGCAATGTGGACTTCCTGTAGCTTTTTCCTTTCAGTTCGCGAAGTGACTGAGCCTCTGAATTTGAATCCAGCTAAACGGCCTCGTCGACAAGACTGGGATGGAGAGTTATATGAAAATGGCTCATTCTATTTTGCTAAACGACATTTGATAGAGATGGGTTACTTACAGGTTTGTACTTTCATTTTACAAAAATCCCTTCAAACACTTTCATATGTATACTTTGAGTTCCAGGGAAGAAGCATGCACAGTTTGTTAAAAAAGAAGAAAAAAGGTATCAGCCCCAGGGGAAAGGCAGTAGCTGACAGGATCTATCATCCGGGCATTCATTCATCCCCAGTGTGATGTTTGGAATCCATTCAGTAAATACACAGAGATTCTGTGCTAACAGTTACATTAAGATAAAAAGTGAGGGCTGGGGATGGGGCTCATTGGTAGAGCACTTGCCTAGGAAATGCTAGGGTTCGAACCCTAGTACCATCCAAAATAAAAGAGATGAATATTTACGATGTCCTGATATTTACATTCTGTTCAGAATTGTTTGTAATCCATATTTAGGTTACATAGGTTGTGGCTGTATGATTGAATAATTTCTATTACTTTAATGAGAGAAAATAACCAGTATAGTAGAGGTGAAAGAGCAGGACCCTGGCATCAGAGAAACAAGATTTTATGTAGCTATGTAACGTTGAATGTACCATTTTGTCTGTTCTGACATTTCATTTTAAACTAAGGGGGTAGAACACCTCTCATTCTTGGAGCCTATGTGGCTGCGTCGTGTATGTGTAAAATAGTTAATTTTAGTTACAGCTGTGATTTATTCAGCACTTGGCATGCACCAAAGGCAATACGAACTCTTCATATGGGTGATCTCATGTGATCTGCAAAGCAGCTGAAGGAAGTGGACATTCCTTTCCCGGCATTGCACAGGAGAAACTTGATACTCTAAAAGATGAAGTCAGTAGCTCAAGGCAGAAATACCTAGTCAGTGGTACTATCAAGATTTAGATTTAGTTCTTACATTTCTCAGAACACAGCATTAAAAAGAAAAACGCAGAGGGGGTTAGGGGTCTAGCTCAGGGAAGAAACTGCACTTGTAAAAGCTTTGAGACCCTGGCTCTGAAGAAAAGAGGAAAAAGCTTCCACTATTCTAGCTGTTTGGTTGAGTTCTAGTGTTTAGGAAAATTAGATTTCACAAATCTACAGATATTGCTTGCCTTCCCTGAGCTCTTTTCTAAGAACGTATTTTGTGCAGACCTTTCCTAAAGTATGAGGAAAAATAATGTTCTCATTGTTACCAGATTTGTGAAAAGACTTCCAGTTCTGGAAAACGAAGTTTCCCAGTAATTGACCTGGTCATTCAAGCAGACACGGTTGGAGGAAAGATCTTTCCTCTTGCCCCAGAATCTGCCCCGCCTTGGCCCACATGCTCTGGACAGCTGTTGTCCACTGTCTATAGCTCAGGTACTCAAGACAGATCTGGACAAGAGAGCTATAGTTGCCTCCCCCACCCTATCCTGCCTTTTAGATGCAGATTAGAAAAGAAATTCTGAAAGTCTTTATACTGCTTTTGGATGATGATGGGGGAGACTTCCAGAAAAAGGGGGATATAGTTAAGGGATTCTTGGAAAATTACTTGTGGTCAGAACACTGGAGGATTGCTACTATTTCTGCTTATTGCAATCTTAAAATAGAAATATATTAAAAGAAAACAGAACTTATCTACAAGATAGAACTTGAAAAAAATGTTAAGGTTTTTTGTGAACTTTCTTCTAAACATGATTTGTGATAGTTACTTATTTTACTGGATTTGGTTTTCTCAGTACTGTGGGAGTAGACCCATTATTTTTGTTCATACAGGTAAGTGGATGTTAAAAACAACAATCATGACATTGTGTCTCTTTAGGGTGGGAAAATGGCATACTATGAGATGCGAGCTGAGCATAGCGTGGACATCGATGTTGACATTGACTGGCCGATTGCAGAGCAGAGAGTGCTGAGGTAAAAATCAGATTCAGAAAGCCTTTGCACGAGAGCCCACATCGTGTGAAATGTGTAGTTCAGTGCTCTTCCAGACACCACTTCTACTACTACAAACGTCTTAGGAGCGTTGAAATTAGTTTGCTCATCTGGGGAAGACACATGTGAAATACGCTTTTAGATGACTTGTTCAGAAAACTGAGAATCACAAGTCTGGTTAAATAGCACCTACATATTGTACTGAAAGTCCAAATGTGTATGTGAAGCAACTTTGAAGAGGGGTGTTTGAGTAACTAAATGCACCGAGTTATTCAGCTCACTGGTGTTAGCCAGGTGAAGGAAGAGACTAGTGTTGCACTTGTGCTTAAAGGTCTCTTCTGGTTTCTTCTAGATTTGGCTATTTTGGCAAAGAGAAGCTTAAGGAGATAAAGCTTTTGGTTTGCAATATTGATGGATGTCTCACCAACGGCCACATTTATGTGTCAGGAGACCAAAAAGAAATAATATCTTATGATGTAAAAGATGCTATTGGGATAAGCTTACTAAAGAAAAGTGGTATTGAGGTATGTGCTCCCCAGTTATGGAGATTTTTGTAAGATTTTGATTCAGGGTCAAATGAATGATGAAATCAAAATTTTTAATATAAACTATTATGTCTGAAATTTAGCCTTTGCATGCCTAGAAGATGATCACTCTATTTCCTTTTAGATGAGTTAAGTTAGGAATTTTTCAATTACCAGGTAATACTTATCCAAGAAGTATGAACACACTCTTAAGCGGGAGCTGTCTAGTAGTTCCTGTAGGACCTGGCAACAAGAGAGGCTGCCTTGGTAACTGGTTTTGGCATTTACAGAGCTTAAATATCTAGTATGTTTATAAAATGTACATTCTTAAGAATGAAGTTTTAAATTCAAAAACAGTGTTTCAGTAATTTTTAAAAAAGGAAGGCTGAAATAAAATTACAGTTCACTAGGCAGCACGAGAGAGATTATAGACTTTTCCTCCAGATAAACTGACTTACAGGAAAATCTTAAATTAGCATTAATGTATGTTGCCTTTTTTACCTGTGGATAGGCTGGCTCCTCTCGGTTATAGAAAACTGTACCTCGCCTTTACTGGGCCATTGGAAGACTTGTTTTAATGTGTCAGCATTTTAAAATATTAGCTGATTTTACTTAAATGGTCCTTCTGAGAGTCAAAGTACAAGCCATTTGTGACTTGGACCATTTACAAGGCTTTATTTTGTTGTGAAAGATTTCTGTTTCCTTCACCTTCTAATTTTTCCTTTTTTTTTTTTTTTTTTGGTTTTGGTTTGATTTTGGTTTTTCAGGTGAGGCTCATCTCAGAAAGGGCCTGCTCCAAGCAGACCCTATCTGCCTTAAAGCTGGATTGCAAAATGGAAGTCAGTGTGGCTGACAAGCTAGCCGTTGTGGATGAATGGAGAAAAGAAATGGGCCTATGCTGGAAAGAAGTGGCATATCTTGGTTGGTATCATTTCATTCAGCCATAGTGAAATAGGCTTTGGTGGCTTTTAAAGAAATAGATTAATTGGAAAGAAAATTCCCAAAATTGATTTGATTGTAGGGAAATAGGAAATATTTTACACTGCTGAGCAAAGTGTTAAATTGGGGCAGCCTTTCTGGAGATTTGACAGGATGTGTGGAGGGTAGCCCACCAGAGTGAGTGTCAGCACATTCCACCGAGTTGCCTGAGCCACCGGCTAGCCAGGGCTAGTGAGGTAAGCCTGTTTTCCTGTCCTTAAGCTAGAGATGCCAGGAGTACGTGTTGCCTGTGGGTTCTAGGGATTATAAAATAATCTGGGAAAACCAGTGGGAGTTTCAGGTAGATAAGAATTACACTCTGATAGTTTTGGCTACTGTGAAACTTACCTTTTGCCTTGAAATTACAATTCCAGGAAAGAAACAGGGTAAATGTGCAAATGATGGAGGGAAAAATAACCCATCTAAATATCCTGCAAAAAAAATAGCATGCCCATAAAATGCACAAAATGCAACCATTAAAAACAATGCTGCACCTGTACTTATTGGCATGGTCAGATGTGATAATAAGTTTTTCACTTCGATATTAAGCAGAATATTTATCTGGTGCCCAGAATTTGCAGTCATGGAACTGGTTGATGGACATACATACTGCTTACGGAGCCTACAGTCTAATGATGTCAGCATTTTAAATATTAGGAATGGCAAGTTTTAAGATACAGTAACTGTAAATGTTTGCAAGGGTTATATGATCCTCAGAAGCAGCAGAGTAACACTTAAGGAACCTTGGAACCACAGCTGAAGATTGAGGGGGGAAAGCATCATAGAATGTTTGTTAAAGAACAGCCCAGTTTTTGTAAGAGGAAAAGAATTTTAATAAAACAACAAATCTTCTCTCAGCTATATTCATTTGTGAGACATTAAGCAAGCTTCTCCATGGCTTAGTTTCCTATTTGTAACAAAAGCACAAACCAAATTTTATTATTTTTTATTATTGTGCTGGGTGGGAGTACTATAGAGTATTTGCAAAATTACTTGCAGTGAATCAAATATATCATACTTGAATTTACCGCCTCCCCCACCCCAGTTCCTGGAATGGTTTCAACAGGTATCATTTTTGCATTTACATATATGTGTATACATTATTTGCCCCTCCTTCCCCCCCTTCCCACCTCCCCCCCACCCCCCACCCCCACCTCTGCTCTGTGCAGAACCTTTTCTATCCTCCTATTCTTTTTGCTAGTTTGGGTAAAGATAGCTATATAGGGAGATTGCTTGTGTTACTTCCATGCATATATGTATTATAACCTAAATTACAGACCAAATTTTATAAGGCTATTGGAAAGAAAAACAAAAGACCACAGGTCTTCAAATAGCAATAATAAGTGTATCATTTAATAGTAAAACTTTGAAATTAAATATGCCAAGATGTATTGATTATCTAAAAAATAGAGATAATTGGGGTGGTTTTGATTTTTTGGCCTTTATTTTAGGAAAAGGTATCTACCAAGAATATGCATAACTCATATCATAAAGAAACTAAGGAGAGGCTAGAAAATAGAAGATATCTCCAGATTTTTGTTTTAAACATCTGCAGTGTTTTGAACAAGACACATAAATGTATAAAAATACCCTTAAGAAAGGGTGTAGGAGAGTGAATATGGTGGAATATTATGTACACATGTATGAAAATGGAAAAATGAGACCTGTTGAAACTATTCCAGGAATGAGGAAAGGGGGATAAAGGAGAATGATGGGGGGCGGTGAATTCAACCATGATATATTATGAGAACTTTTGTAAATGTCACAATGTACTCCCACTACAACAATAATAAAAATTTTTTTAATTAAATAAAAACATCACCACTTTGCTGGGTATATTGGTATATGCTATAATCCCAGCTCTCAGGAGGCTAAGGCAGGAGATCACAAGTTCAAGGCCAGCCTGGACTACATAGCAGACTCTGTCTCAAATCTCCCCTTCCAATTGAACATCTACTTTTTTAAGTAAAATTTATTTGCAAAGCTTAAAAACAGAATTATGCAAAGAAACACTAACTCTGTTTTTCATCATTTTTCGATGACAATTTTCAGTAAATTTAATAAAAGAAAAACATTTCAGTAGATGCAAAATAAATTTAAAGCAAATGCTTTTTTTAACCAGCCGTTTATTAGTACTATTTGTTCAAACACATAGTAATAGTTACAGTAGGAATGGTGAATTTCAGGTACTGGGAGCTTCTGAAATGTATCCTGTCCAAAAAGGAGGAAGAGTAGAGGCCAGGGCAAGAAAGGAATGGTGTTGTTACATTGTATGTGTGGTTTAGTGTGGACTTCTGTGAAAATGGTAATTCAACAAATACATGGCATACAAATCAGGCAGAAATAAAAGACTTCAGATATATACTAGCAAAATGCAATATATGGACCTTCCTGATTCAAAAAAGAAATCAGTGCTAAAAAGAATTGTAAGGCAGTTGGGAATACCTGAACATGTACTAAGTTATTACATAATATTAAGGAATTATAGTTAATTTGTGATGTCAGTTCTAAGACTATATCTATTAAAGATAAATTCTAAAAAGGTTTTGGATAAAATGTGATGTCTGGGAATTCCTTCCTCAGCTCTACCTGCAAGAAAACTAAGATGTAGGTGTGGAGACAAATACTGATAAATAATCTAAAGCATTGATAATTATTAAATATGAACTTGGAGTCCTCTTATATGTTTGAAATTTTCCTTAGTAAAAAATGGAAGTGATTTGTAATTCATGTATACAATTTCTATAATTGTAATATGTGTGACAAGAAAAAGTATACTCCATTCCCTCTCTCTAGATGATGAGAGTTTGTTTTTAAATGCTTAGGGAAAACCCAGACTTCAGTTACACATGTTTTTGTTTGTTTGTTTGACCTCATCATTAGTATTCTTACCTGCAGTACCTTAGATCTTTATTTTACTGAAGTTACCAGAGTTACTTATTGGTTGCTGTTTGCATTATTTATCTAGCATATTGTGTCTATTAAAATGTTCAATCAGTGTTTATTTTACTCGATAGGAAATGAAGTGTCTGATGAAGAGTGCTTGAAGAGAGTGGGCCTGAGTGGTGTTCCTGCTGATGCCTGTTCCACGGCCCAGAAGGCTGTTGGATATATTTGCAGATGCAGTGGTGGCCGCGGTGCCATCCGAGAGTTCGCAGAGCACATTTTCCTTCTAATGGAAAAGGTGAATAATTCTTGCCAAAAATAGAAACCAGTATGATGTTGAGAAAGAAAGAACACAGTCTGCTTTAGCCACTTCCCTTTCATTTTTGTTAAATACAATTCCATGGTTTAGTGTTGCAGAGGGTGTGATTTGATTTGTGGTATATCTTGATATCTTTTAAAAGCAAAGTCTAATCAAATGATCATTCCAAAACCTAAGAGATAATTGTGCTCTACTTTTTTCTCTTCATGCAAGGTAATCTTTTAGAGATTGATCATAGTCTTTCTCAGATTTTTAGTAAATGCAAGTACAACACCATCAAAATTGACTTTGTATCGTTCCCTGTGAAACTGTGTAGTTGTGTGGTTCCAATGATGCTGGGGTTTTATTTATTGGAGACAGCATGTCTGGTAAGACATGCCCTTCCATTAATTAATAAAATTGCATTTCACAAACTTGATGAAAACTGCCTCATTCTGTAGAAGACATTTCCCAAGCATTTCCCATATTTACTTTAAACGCTAACTGTGCAGTCTTAGAAGCAAGCCGCTGAATGCCAGTTGTAAAGCATGTGATATTTTATATATGCATAAAGAGAGCACCTATATATAAGAATATCCAAATAAATTCATATATTTTGAAGGTTATGTATGGATTTGAAGAAGGCAGAGTAAATCATTTGCAGTTACTTCTGAAAAATGGTAACTTTTTGCACTAAGTTTAGTCACCACAATTTTATGGCAACACAGATTATGCTTACCTTATTGAACTCCGAGAGTGGGGCATCATCTCTTAAATGTAGACACTTAACTAATAAATACTAACCATTTCCTGTGGCACATTTACATCTCCTTATATTGTTAAGAAAGATCATGTTTAAACTGACAAGAAGCAGGTCATTCACACTAAGCTATACAGAAAGCTGCTCCTCTGTCAGGACTTGGATTTGCACAGCTCAGAGTCTGTCCCCATAGACAGATGGAAGTTGGAGGGGAATAAAGAGCCATCTTCTACTTTAATTTCCTTTCCATCTTGTTCTGATTTTGCTCTCCTCTTTCTGGTTTTCCCACTGCTGACTGTTTTCTTCTATTCCTTTAAACTTACCCCAGAGGTATTCACCGCAGTTTTTGTTCTCCCTAGAAATAACAGCTACAGTCAAGATTTCACTATAACTCAAGACCATGACACATATCTAATCTCCAGCTCCAGTCCTCTGTTGTGACTTCTGGTTTCATCTCAAACTGTTCATGTTATAACTTAGACTCTAGGACTTCACTTCTCAGATTTATGATTCTGTAATTATTAAGGCATTATAGCCTAGCCAGGTGTGATGGTATGTGCCTATTATTCCAGCATTTGGATGACTGAGGCAGGAGGACCATGAGTTAGGCCATAGCGAGACCTTGTCTCAAAAAAAAAAAAAAAAAAAAAAGCTACAGATTTCTAGCTTGGTGGTCCTTTCAGTTTATCCAATACTATTGCTAGGTTAAGTATTCACATTTGCTGTTACCCTTTCCAAAATCTGACAGTGACTCCATGGTGGTCACAGAATAAAACATGCTTCAATTTGAACATTGTGGTCTGGCCACAGCCTAACATTTCCAGTCATAGTTCCTACAGAGGAGTGCAGGGCCCTCCATGCAATCAAACTCTTCTATGAAGTTCTCAGTGTCTATTCTCAAGTCCTGCCTTATCAGCATGAGCCATTCGTTCTTCAAACATCTCCTGCTAAAATTCCTTCCAAAGTAGTTACTGTGTGTGAATGTAGATGACACTGAGTCCTTGTTTCAGTTCTGTCACCCAAACCCGAGTACAAGGAGATGAGTGCATTCCTCTGTACAACTGCTTCCTTTGTAGAAAGTCTCAGTCAAGAAAACACCCTATGTTCAGTTCTGATCTGTAAAGAATTTAGAGGTTGCCACTCCCATCCTCCCAGTAAGGAAAACTGGATAAACAAAATCAGTGACTTTCTCGGCCCTGTCAGAAAAAAAGCAAACACCCACCCAAAATCTAGAGAGAGAGAGGCCCATACAAAGAGAGAACATGAGGGGAGGGTCTGGGGTTCAAGTGTTAGAGTACCTGCCTAGCAAGCGTAGGGCCATGAGTTCACACCTCAGTACTGCAAAGAGAGAACCTGAGACCTGCTGGAGCCATCACTGCTGAATGCCACATACTGATAGGGACACTTGAACTGTAATTTTGATGACTGAAGGCTGTGTATGGACTAATGTGAGAGAGACTGCAGGAGGCCACTGGCAGGCAGCAAATAGAGACACACACAAACACAAAATCTCACCAGAGGATCTAAGGATCTAGGAAAAAATCCCCATAGCCCTTGCAAAAGGGGAAACAATGGCCATTGTGAAATCCTTGCAGATCCTCCCCAACAGGGCTACTCTCCAGTAGGAACAACCTCTCTCCCAGGTGAGAGGAAGTCTACTCAATAAAAACCTGCTTTCCTGCCTCACCCGAGGGGAAAATCCACAGTGATAGGAGAGAAGGCTACAATGGAGCAGATCAGTAATGCCCCCAGGGGCAGGGGGAGAAAACCTGGAAAGCTGGTATTTTCAAGATACAGCTCATGGAAAAGACCAGGACTTAAAACATCTCAGAATGCCCCCCTTGGCATTCTCCATACCAAAACCCCAGTGTAATAACAATGGATTAAGACCAAAAAAGCCACAAGACAAGGACTTTCTCTAAGAAGAAATACAAAAGGAAATCCCAAAGTCCAAACCAAAGAAAAAATTTGATGTCTCTGGTAAGATACAGTCCACCTCCCAGCAAAATTGATATGAATCTTCACACTAAAGACCTGTTTGTCTCAGTACCTATTACCCAATATGTGATTCTCGATTTTTAACAATAATAAATGATAAGACATGCCAAAAGGCAAGACGAATCTAGAGAAGCAAAGCAGTCATTATATCCAGACTCAAATGTTAGTGTATTGGACATACCATTTTAAACAGCTGTGATTTTATGTAAAGAGATGTAGTGAGAACATAATACAACAAGCAAGACCAGATGAGCAATGTCTGTAGAGAGATGGAAACTGAGAAAGAGTTAAAAGGAAGTACTAAAAATCAGACACAGTAACCAACTATAACATACCAGGAATACAAGGGTAAGGACCAGAACGGGCTGGGTACTGGTGGCTCACACCTGTAATAGTAGCTACTTGGGAGGCTGAGATCAGAAGTATCATATTTGAGGCCAGCTGGGGTAAGTAGTTCTCGAGACCCCACCTCCAAAATAACCAGAGCAAAATGAACTGAAGGTGTGGCTCCAGTAGAGCACCTGCTTTGCAAGCATGAAGCCCTGAGTTCAAAACCTTGTCGCACCAAAAAAGAAACAGAACAGGACAGAAGAGATATTTGAAGTAATAATAGCCAAGATCTTCACAATATTAACAACAGACACCAAACCACACATCCAGGAATCTCAGAACACAAAGTATCAAAGGACAAAAACCTAATCTTGCAAACAGGCATATCATTCTCAAGGTGCAGAAAATCAAGGAAAACCTTGGGGGGATGGAAGCATGGGAGAATAAGGGTACAAATTATTGCATATTTTTCTTCATGTAAGAACAGTGGCATGGAATCTTTGAAATGTTGAAAGAAAAAAAGATTGCCAATGTAGATTTCTTACTGGTTTTGTTTGTTTTTGGTAGGGCTGGGATTTGAACTCGGATTTGCACTTGCAAAGCAGGCATTCTACCACTTGAGCCACACTTCCCCAACCTGGATTTCTATGTCCAGTGAAAATTTTCCTGAAAAAAATACTTTCTCACATAAAACTGAGGGATTTCATTGCCCACAGACTTGTCCTACAAACAAGTGTTAAATGTTTCAAGAGAGAAGAGTTGATATAGCTGGAAACTTGGATCACCACAAAGAAGAATACTAACGAAGAAATGAAAGCAAAAATAATCTCTTACTTTGTTCTCACCCTTACCTGATCCTAAAGATAAATGTTTAAAGTAATAGTAATGGTAGTGTATAGGATAATTATACCATCTGGCAAGTGAAATGACTGCCAGGGATGGGAGGGATGTGTTGGGAATACACTCTGAAAAGGAGAGGTTGTGTAATGTGTTATTTGAAGGTGACTTAGATGATTTTGAAATGCACATTTTAAACACTGGGATAGCCTCTAGTATTTTTTCTTTACAAAATGAAGTATAAGAATTTAACCAACAGAGGAGGTTAAATAGAATCCTACAAAATGCTCAATTAAACCCAAAGAATTCAGGAAAAGGGGGAGGAGGAAAACACTAAGCACAAAGACAAAACAATTACATAGATGATAGATTATGCATTTTACACTTCAGGCAAGTTTAGCCAGACTATGCCTTCTCTTCCTTACTTTAGTTAAAGATAATAGTATCAACTTGGCTCGCTATGCCGGTACACAACCATAATCGCAGCATTTGGAAGAATGAAGCAGGAGGATTTCGAGTTCAAGGCCAGCCCGGGCTACATAGCAAGATCTGTCTCAAAACAATACCAAAAGCAGTATCACTCAGTACTCTGAAGATTAAATGTTCTGAGAGTACTTGGCTCATGAAGGAGTTCTAAATGTATATTAGTATCATTGACATTAAAGATGTGGGGATTCTGTCTTCATTTTTGTCATTAAGTAAAGTCATTTCACACCCCACAGCTAGTTTAAATAGACTAACTTTATCTTCCCTTATAATCCTGTTGTTGCAAACATGCTAATGTTTTACTTAGAAGAAATACTTCACACAAAAGAAATGCCATATTTATGGTAAATGACATTAGGGCTCTGCAGATGATTGGTTAAAAAGTATAGTGCAGAAGTTATTTACTTAGTACATTGGTGAACTTAGAAAGAAATCATTCCTGATTGCACTGATTATTTCCAAGAGAATAGCTATCAGCAAGCTGAACTTTTTTCTTAATTCCACAATAAAGTATCCAGCAGATTAAAGACATTGTGATATTTTCTGAAAATAAAAAGAATAAAGCACAGGTTTACCACCTAGGCTGGAAGACGAATACAGGGAAATTATATGAGTCTGGAGAGGCAAATAAACGGGGACCAGACCATACAGGTTTTTGTGAGTTATGGAAGTAATTTCTCCTTTATCCTAAGAACAAAGTCCATTAAAAGGCTTGAAGCAGGAATAGCTTTTCAGGAGCAGGTGACATTTGAGCTGGGCATTAAAGACTGCAGAAAATGTTGGGATAATGCCACAGAAATGAGGTTGACATGTGTTCAGAGAATGGAAGAGGCCACTGTATAAAACAGGATCTGAAGGAAATGGTGAAAGAGGATACCAGAAACACAGGACCTAATGTAGGGTGACCTTAATAGAAAATGCTTGATCTTGTGTTGACTTTGAAATGCCCACTGCCATTCCAATCCAAACTGTCCTAGTCTCACTTTAGTTGTCTACTCTGTACTTTTTGTTCCCTTTGTAAAAACTTACAGTGACTCCACACTATT